TTAAAATCACCGATACTGCGTCGGTATGTACGTAGCGATAGGTAAATGCTTTTCAAACATTCCAGATTAGGGATGTTAATTGGTTGGTCGGTTGGTCTTTATTTGGTCTTTATTTTGAATAGATCAATGGTCCGACCACTTGCCCCTTATTAAAAAGATATCGATATTGTCCGAGCCATTAACATCCCTTTTAACCAACTTCGATCTCCAAGTATGGTTGTTAATAGAGCTATTGATTGTGCATCACTGTTAAGAATTACTTAAAAATGTAATTATTTATCGTTACGTGCAGTAATTTTATATTAAACCGGTTTTTATAAAGTACAATAGAGTCGTAATTATAAAATTTATTTGCATTATCGTTATCAATAAAATTCAATAAATTCAGGAATTAGTCCTGCTTTATCATAAATCGGAACCTAAATCTTTGAATCGTGTAACGAGGAGTTAACATTGATATGCATATAGTTATGCTTTAAAAATCAAGCAAATTTTTCAAACACGAACTTTAACATATCTGTTCTGAATTATGTATGTAGGCCTGATTCATTACTACAAAAAGGATTTTCATACGCGTCGAAATTGTCTAAATTGAATTAGATATCATAGATTACTAAATATTATAAAAGGAATTAATTTAAAATGGATTTATAAAAACATAGAATAGAATATCTTATTAATTCAATTAATTCACAAGGTTCCTTTTATTTCCTTTTTTTTTTTTTTTTATATCTTGCCAGAGCGAGAGTTTCCGTTTCGAGAAAAAACAGTTTTCTGTCGTGATTTTATTTTGTGATTAATGTCCACGCACGAAGGTTATCTCATAGAGGTTACGCCATTGATAACGGGAGAAAATGAAGAGCCTGAATTTGACTTTTCAAAATATGGCTGGTTTGCTACCTTTCGAAGGTCAAAAGCCGCGGTAATATGTGTAGCTTCAATTGCTCTCTTTACGTAAGTTTCGTTTTTTTTTAAAAAAAAAAAAATTTACAAATTAGATATTTCATTAAATCTATCGTTTTTACTAATTCTTACAAAATACTTTTTAATAGCGATATGATTGTATATGGTATTATAGTCCCTATCCTTCCTTTAATCGTTCGGGAACGTCTCGGAATGGATTCAACGTCAACCGGGATACTCTTTGGATGTTACGGTACGAATTTTACTTTTTAATTACTTACCTCGAATTTTTTAAATAACCCTTT